GCTTTCCACAGTTGTGGTGTTTCTGCTCAAATCAAATCAAAGTGATCTTGTAAAAGGCTGAAAACTGCACCCCTTTCATATTTCATGTCAGACTACAGGCTGGTCTACACGGCCACTGAATGGTGCTGTAACTTTCTTGCTCAGAGAAGTGAAAAGACATAGCCTCCCCCCCACAGCAAGTTAAAGTGTTGTAAAGTTCCAGTGTAAACAGGCTCTGAGTGCTGTTAGCTACTCCCCTCATTGAAGTGGTTTACCTAGAGCACTGGGGCTGTGACCACATTGCGCCATTAAAGCGCTACTGTGGCTGCGCTTGAATTTAGCAGTAAAAAAAGCCTGAATTGACCTACCTTGGCACAAAACTGTAATTTGTTTCTGTGTTCTTTCACCTGTAGTAGGTGATGCAGTAATAGGCACATGCAAGAAATCCCCTGTGGAAGGCTGCCTTGAGCATCACTTTGTATTCACCTAGGAGATGCAGGTGGGCTTTTGCAGTTAAGACACAAGGCTAGATAAAAGTCACTCTTACGTGGGGGCTAGAACACTTTGGCTGTGTCTAGACTGGCAAGTTTTTCCGCAAAAGCAAGGGCTTTTGCGGAAAAACTTGCCAGCTGTCTACTCAGGCCGCTTGAATTTCCGCAAGAACACTGATGATCTCATGTAAGAAATCAGTGCTTCTTGCGGAAATACTATACTGCTCCCATTTGGGCAAAAGTCCTTTTGCGCAAAAGGGCCATTGTAGACAGCTCAGATTTGTTTTGCGCAAAAAGCCCCGATCACGAAAATGGTGATTGAGGCTTTTTTACGCAAAAGCGCGTGTAGATTGGCATGGACGCTTTTCTGCAAAAAGTGCTTTTGCGGGAAAGCGTCCGTGCCAGTCTAGACGCTCTTTTCCGCAAACGCTTTTAACGGAAAACTTCCGTTAAAAGCATTTGCAGAAAATCATGCCAGTCTAGACGTAGCCATTGTGTAGTGGAGGTGCTGTCAGCCATGGAACCACGTTGTAAACCCCCCTCTCTGGCGAAAACCACTTCAAACCAGGGTGTGTAGCAGTACCCCCAGCACCTACACACACTTACTACCTATTGCCCAACCCAAAACCAAGCTAATACACTTCACCTCTGGCCTGTTCCCTCCCCAGTTTGCATCTTCTAGTCCTGCCTGGCAGAATGCCAGTTACAAGCTTAAATATTCCAAGACCCCTGGGGGATTTATATACCCAGTCCCCATGACAATTAATGAAGGCCATCACAATCCTTCAGATACTTTAAAAATCTCCCCTGTACAACACCCATAAGCTGCAAGATACTTCCTTCCCTCTGAGTTCTTATTGGACAAGGGCTGATGCAAAGTGACAAATCAATAGTTGCTATTTGAGGGCACTCTACAATTTTACTCTGAACAACAGATCTGGCATCTCTAATTCCATCACACTGCTGGTGTGGCTCCAAATTAAGCAACAAAGGCTGGAACATGCAGCATAGCTCATCGTTTATTACTTCAGTCACACAGTCTAACTGCATTCCCACTATTACAGTATTTCTGCCAAGAGCAATGCTGGCTGAACACCTCGGGGCCTGTCCAAAAATGAATGCACATCTTAAGGGATGCTCAGCCTTTCACCGCTACTGTATCAGTGTGACCTCAGCACAAGGAAGAGATTATAGGGCAACAGTGGCACTGCTAGAGTGAAGGCTAACACTAGTTTAACAGCGGATATGTCTAAATTCTTGGAAATCCATGTTCCTGCTGTGCCTTGTGTCAGCCATCCAAATGTGAGGTTATTTGGGAAAAGAGTTCCTAAGATACAACCCCCTCTATTCAAAGAAAACAGCAAGACATTAAAATGTTACAGGTTTTTTTTTTTTTTTTTTAAATTATTATTAATCTTGGAACTCCAACTCTAGCTCTGATCTTCCCCAAACTTTTATCAGCTGCTTGGGATTAGCACCCACTGTCCCGAGGGCAATATTGAAAACCTGGTGTAGGATGTAAAATGAGGCTCAAGCCAACAAGCCAGAAAAAGTAATTTGTGCTTGTGCAGCAGGCCTGGGACTCTGTTGCAAGACTCTTTACAGGGATTCTGACAGTAAGTGGGGGGCTCAAGACACTGCCTTGTTGTCATTGATCCTGATGAGCAGCACACATCCACTGGGTCTCAGTCCTTCCCAGGGCAGTTTTCTAGGAATCAGGATGGTGCACAGTGATTTCCCTCTACCTTCTGCAGAGGCTCTGTCTGGAAATTCTGCCCTAAGAGCTAAGCTTCTGCTTTAAGAGCGGATAGCTCCAAGTGCTCTAACATGCAGAGTCACTCACTTGCCACTTCAGAAACATGGTCAAACAATAAAGAGAAGGCAGGCTCTGATGAACAGGAATATTGGAGTACTGTAAGGTGTACATGCTGCAGCCTCCTCACCACCAGCTCTATCAGCAGGAGGAAGGGGCTGACATATGAAGCATCATGAAAAGAGTTTCTGAACCCCAGGGAAGGCGCCCGGCATAGAAAGCTAGATTCTAAGGACTGATTTAAAGTCACGATTGGCTAATGAGACAGGAGTAAACCCTAAGTCAAGACATCAACTTGTACAGCTTGAAACATACATTTAAACTTCCTAAATAATTCATCCAGTGTTTGCCAACCAAGGGGCATCAGTTCTCTAAGGGTACGTCCACACAGCATCCATAGCTCAAAATAAGCTATGCAATATTATTATTTTGAAGAAGCAGAATATGCTATTTTGGGATACCAGAAGTATTCCTTAATAGAGCCGCAGTGTTGACATACCCTAAGTGCTGTGCTTCTGCTGCAAAGGATGGGGGCCTGAAGGAAGCATCAGACACTAGAAAAGTTTTAGTCACATGCCCTCTTTAAAATGGTTACCGCAAACCCCAATCAATCTGTCCTCCCACAGATGACTGTGGAGGAGGAGAGGATAAGATATGCACAAGCTAGAATTAATTTTAAGTGATCCACTAACTCAAAAGACAATTTTGGCCAACCTTTTCCCTATTGCCATGGAAATCCTGGTGTAACTTCAACAGTGGTGGCCCTCCCATGCTCCTATAATATCGCTGTGCCACATTAGGGCTGTGATAGAATCCACGCTGGAAGCTGAGGTTGTTTGGTTGAGGGATTCCTCGGATATAGACCTCTTCCCTAGGAACAGCTGCCTTCAGACCTAAATGCAAAGCAGGCCTGCCAGCAGGGGAGGAAGCGCAAAGGGGGCAACTGCCCACAAGTCTAGTGATGCCAAAGAATCTGGAGTGCCCAGCTGCAGTGGCAGCTGCTGGAGCACCACGTGGCATGCTCTGGGCAGCTCTGAGGCCTGGCAGGAGGCTGGGGAACAAGGTGCACTCCAAGTAGTGCTAAGAGCCAACTACCCCAAACCCCACCCCTTCCATCCAAGCCCCGCCCCTTCCGCCCAAGCCCC